TCCACTGAGGCGGGCCTCTAGCGGCAAATCGGCGTAGTTCCAAGATGCGGACGCAAGAAGTATCCCACCCTACTTTGCCTTTTCAGATGTCCTCTTAGCTGGACATGCAGATCCCTGACGCGCTTCCTGCAGAAGTGGGTATGGAGTAGGGATGAGTTGTCACACGATGAAGCACAGCAGGACGGATTTGCAAGGGGATTTCGCACTCGACCATGCTCAGTCCGAATGTGGACCTTCTCGGGCAAATGAGCCATATGCGTCTCGAACTGACATGATCCGCGTGTTCCGCATGGGCACAACGACACTTCATGCCAGGAGGTTTCAACTGAAGGAGTTACGGTCAGTTTGTGTGCGGAAGATACTGGCTGGAAAAATATGTTGCCAAACTTGCCAGCCTTGGTCCATCGAGTGGCATCCTGGGCCACATTGGCGCTGCCTGCGTATGACGTTGCTCCAACCAGGTGCTGAGTTTGCTCGAATCCTTCGTCGTTTCTTACGCCACAAGCATCCAAAAACTACATGCAGCTGTAGCTGCTTGCCGGGCTTGATTCCGCTAACCAATCCTGCGTGTCATGCTCGCATGGCGTTCAAGCCGTTCCTTCAAGCATCTGCACGATGAGATGCCTTTGCTGCCCTGGTTCCCGCATGTGGAGACGCTCACGTGCTTTCAGGCACTGCTTGCCACCCAGTCAAGTCCGAGTTCGACGACTTCTGGTTTTCAATCTTCGACACGTCGGTGTCGTGATCGAGTGCGCCGCTTGCACGCTGGGTCGTCACTGGCATGGCGCAAAGACACAGACAAGGTACAGGCTTTGTGGCTTGTTTCTGCAAGCCGGAGTACCCCGCAGACCCCTGCAGTCTTGAGAAAACAACATGCAATGCGGCGCAGGCTGAAGCATGTCAGCACGAGCACTTTCTGCGTGCTGTAAAGCAAATCGGGCAGGCTGAAAGGTCTTGAGGACGTCGCGTCAATAGCAACTGTGGTGGGATCATTTGGGCTCCAAGAGTTGCTGTCCTCTGACCGATTGCCTGTGCCCATCACTTCGTCTGCTTCGCGCTTGTCGCGCTTGTGTCTTCGTGCCGCAGTCCTGCCGTGCCATTTGCGGCCAGAGCGTGTTCGCAGGCTGAATTACTTTCCTCAATGCCAACGCCGGGCCTTCTCGCCGCGTATGTTGCGAACTTCGTGAGGCTCAGTACGGAGAAGCCCTGGCACACATCCGCTGCAGACCAAACTCTGCAGCTGCTCTCTGCTTCTCCTTTGTCGAAGACGGCAAGCTTGAAGTTGGCAAGTCGGACTTGGGGTCGCCGGAGCATGGCAACATAGGCAGTTCGATTGAGAGTTTGGGCCATAAGCACCCCACCTAGTTAAAGTGTGCTCTTCTTGACATCCTGGTAGTTTTTTGGAGGAAGAAGCAAAGGCTTAAGCTCGGGGCTTTCGTGCCATGAGAATATACAGACATGTGCGCATGTGGTTGCGAGATGGTGCCGCCAGATCACCGCTGCTGCGGATACTGCGCCCCTGTCTGCGCACGCAGCTTTGGGCCTTAGCCTTAGCCCATGACAACCACCCTTCCGAGGCTCCGACAATGGCAAGGGGGTTGTGAGGCCCCTGCCCAACCCAGACTTCCACACGCGCGCACATGCCTGCCCGTACCCTCGCCCGGGTGCGCTTGCCGTCCTTACCCGCGCTCAGGCTCCTTGTTGTCTACCCGACCGTATCCATGATGATGGTTTGAGCGGGCATGCTCAACGCCAATTGGCCAAACAGTTGCCATGCTGTGGGTCTTTCGGTGTAAGCTCGCTATTTGTTGGGCGTGCTCTGCATGACGGCACCGCCAAGTCTTCCACAGGGCTTTCTCCCAAATGTGGTTGAACAACCTACAGCATGTCTGTGTTCACGTCTGCCATGAGTTTTTGGGAAGGCCCTCGCCTGCATTCTGTGGCGATGCGATTGTGCATGGCGATGCGGTTGCACCGCATGGCCATGCTCTGCACAGTGAGGTGGACTCGGCGGTCTTGAGTGCCGGCACTGGGCAGCTTGACTGCCTGGAGGGTTAGCTCCGCTGCCTCCGCTTGGGTAAGTCAGGCGTTGCCGCGTACACATGCACGTCCCACTAGAGCCCCGTACAGCTGGCTCCCTAAACCCCACGCTGCCATATGGCCTTCAGTCCGGGCCACGTGCAGCTACGGCCGGTCCTCTCTTGTTTCTTTCCATGGCTGAGGCTCCTAAGCAATCTCGGCGTGCCAATACTAAGTGTTTCGCGCGCCTCAATCAACACATCGGGTCGCACTCTTCCCGCGGCACAGGGTTTTCTCGCAAACGTGGTTTATCCCTGTGCCCGTGTGCTATTGGCATTTGTTTGGTTGCATTTTCCATATGTGGAAGTATCGAACTAGTCGAGCCCGAGGCTCGGGCCCATCCACTGTAGCAGGAAGTTATACAGTTATACCTCGACAAGGCCTCGGGTAGGAGGCCCCGTTGTGCCAACATAATGCTCTACCAGTATGACGTGCCCGTGGTCGAGTGCAGTGGTCACCTCTTTAGGGGGAACTGCCTTGTTATTCAGCCTCGAAACTTCTACAGCATGGCAGCCGCCTGTCTACCAATTGGAATGCCTGCGGCTGTTCCCCGTAGTACGCGTACATGTTTCCGGCTTCTTGTGCCAAGGCAATCAAGCCTTGGCAAGGCGGCGGGAGGCTAATGAAAGCGACAAGCTGCCACAAGGGAGCCATCTATGAGCTGTTGAGTTCTTGTTCAAGTCATGAGCAGTCTCGCTGGGGCGTGTCGGCTTGGGCTGCTGTCGGTCTGCTAGCCGTGTGCTGCACTGCCTGGCGCATGAGGTGAAGTCGAACTGTCTAGCATTCAGCATGCACTGCTGCCTTCAAGCTGTGCAGAGCACAACGAGAGGATGAACATGGCTCATGCGGCACCTCCGCTCAGGGCCATTTGGCGGCTGTTGAAGCTATCGGCGTTGGAGGCCATTTCTGCATGATGACGTACGGCTTCTCACAAGCAACCTCCCGCGAGAGCTAAGTCGCTCCCGCAGCCACCTTGCGCTGGAAGGCAAGCCCAAGCAGCGGGCTGCTCATGTCTTGTATCGGAAACTAGAGCAGCGACAGCCAAGCTTGCCGTATCCGTGCATGCAGCGGGTAATGGTAGGCGTGCCGACTGATGACAAGGTGCTGGAGACAGGTGTGCCTGATTGATTCGCATGCCGACTTGTCTTCGATGGGCAGTTCGAACGATAGGCCTGGGCTGTTTTGTCTCCGGCCGGTCAGCACTCCTGCAATCGCCACTGCAGTTGGAGGTGCGTGCACGTTTTCTTTCAGGCTTATTGATTCGTTTGATGTTCCTGAAGGCAGCGGCGGTGCCGCAGCTCAGCCCAGAGCGTTGCCTGGCAGCACAGAAGGACGCACAGTGTCGTCGTGCGGTGGAAAAGCTAGCTGACTATGAGTTGACAAGTCCCTACCAAGTGGACTGACTCATGTACGATGGCCTTGCAGAAGTGCGAGGAGCCGAACAGGGGGAGGGTAAACACCCCGCATGGTGACGGAAAGGTTTGCCACACCCTTAGGAAAAGGGGTTGGGACGGGCATTGGCTTATGACAAGGAATGGAGTTTATCGATGAGGTTGGGCCGCGCTTTTGCAACTGCTGCTCTACGATCAAGAATGAGAAAGCCCGATAAGGTTTGCAAGGGACAGGCAACGATGATGGGTCGTTTCCCAACAAGCAGCACCTAACATTTTCATTCCAAAGCAGCTGTGTACGAGCCATGAGCTCTGAGCGAGCCATGAGTTATGAGCGAGCCATGAGCTAATAAGCTAGTCTCGCTGTTGGATTTGGCGCTGTTGGATTTGGAGGGGCGGGTCAGCTTGGGCTGCTGTCGGTCTGCTAGCCGTGTGCTGCACTGCCTGGCCCATGAGGTGAAGTCGAACTGTCTAGTATTCAGCGTGCACTGCCGCCTTCAAGCTGTGCAGAGCACAACGAGAGGATGAACATGGCTCATGCGGCACCTCCGCTCAGGGCCATTTGGCGTCTGTTGAAGCTATCGGTGTTGGAGGCCATTTCTGCATGATGACGTACGGCTTCTCACAAGCAACCTCCCGCGAGAGCTAAGTCGCTCCCGCAGCCACCTTGCGCTGGAAGGCAAGCCCAAGCAGCGGGCTGCTCATGTCTTGTATCGGAAACTAGAGCAGCGACAGCCAAGCTTGCCGTATCCGTGGATGCAGCGGGTAATGGTAGACGTGCCGACTGATGACAAGGTGCTGGAGACAGGTGTGCCTGATTGATTCGCATGCCGACTTGTCTTCGATGGGCAGTTCGAACGATAGCCCTGGGCTGTTTGTCTCTGGCCGGTCAGCACTCTTGCAATCGCCACTGCAGTTGGAGGTGCGTGCACGTTTTCTTTCAGGCTTATTGATTCGTTTGACGTTCCTGAAGGCAGCGGCGGTGCCGCAGCTCAGCCCAGAGCGCTGGTTGGCAGCACAGAAGGACGCACAGTGTCGTCGTGCGGTGGAAAAGCTAGCTGACTATGAATTGACAAACCCCAGCTTGCTGCCTTTGAGTTTAGGATAGGACAAGTTGACTGACCAATGCTTTGAGCGCAGAGGTCAAACGCATTTCTGGGCTACGCTCGAAAGCCCGCTCGGTTGCCAGAACTCAGCTCCATGTTCTGACGGAATTGCGCCGCGGTATTGGCCTGAAGCGAGCTGTCGAAAGGCGAGGCTTCGCGATGCATGCCAACAAGTCTGTCGGCTTCATTCGGCCAAGTTTTGCATTTGCACTTTCGTCGAGCATACATTCCAAAGTCCGACACAGCTGTTGGTTGACAGTTATGGGGCCCAGTGTGCAGGGCCAACCTGATGGTAGGCAGTGCAGTGCTTTCGGAAGGGGCACAGAGGGCAAGTGTTTTCTGCGCCCGCAGGCCTAATGTCTCTGATCACGGGGGAGGGGCCAGGCAGCCTGTTTGTTGATTGCCCAAGAGTCACTCGCAGTCTTTACGATGTGCGGCACTTCGTAGCACACCCAAACTTTCTAGCAGATCTTCTGCTGCTCGGCGTCAGGGCGTGCCCACGATTGGCCAAGCCAAAAAGAAGAGATAGGTCGCGTGTCATTGCAGCACTAGCAGACCATTCGTCTTGCACCACCTTGGCATACCTTGGCTGTAAATGTCGATAGCGGAGGAGGTGCAGGGTTTGCAAAGTGAGGGCTGGCAGCAAAACCAAGGTTCCCGCAGCCAAGCCTTTCCGGGTTGAGGCGAGCGGAGGTAGTCTGAGTCGGTGCAGATCGGGGACTATGGTATCTTGCCTGGGCCGGGGAAGCTTGTTGTATCCGCGGATGCACCGGGACGTGCCGACTGATGACAAGGTGCTACAGACAGGTGTGCCTGATTGATTCGCATGCCGTCTTGTCTTCCATGGGCAGTTCGAACGATAGGCCTGGGCTGTTTGCCTCTGGCCGGTCAGCACTCCTGCAATCGCCATTGCAGTTGGAGGTGCGTGCACGTATTCTTTCAGGCTTATTGATTCGTTTGACGTTGCTGAAGGCAGCGGCGGTGCCGCAGCTTGGCCTAGCACAGAAAGGGCGGAGCGGCTAAGGACGTCGGCTAAGTGGCGGCGTGTGGCCGCCATTGGCTTCCTAGACAATGAGTTGATCTCCACAAAGCCTCCCTGGCAAGCGGAGCGAAATCCTCCATCAACATAGCCTGACTGCTCAAGCTTCGCATGCATCATGGCATGCTTTCCCAAGCAGATCAACTCTGCTACGTCTCGCAAGCAATACTTGCAGCCGTGCTGCCTTTGACTTGAAGCACTGGATGGTGCAGCTAGGACAATCCGTTCTAGTGCTCATGAAAGCCTCCACGTTGTGCGTCCTTGCTCGTTTAAAGATGAGCGCATGGCATATTCGCTTTGAACACCATTGAGGCAATGTGGGAGGTGTGGAACTTGTGTGAATTTCTGTTGGAACAAAGCTGATTCCAGCAAGGCTCAGAAGCGAGCTGCGTGCCGCTGAGCCGCCATCGCAGCCTTGACGCCCTCGGCGCATCTCGTTAGGCCAGGACACTTGCTCGTGCGATCGCATGCGACGGCGCGATGCCGGCAATCAGACCGCTGCCCCTGCTGATGCTCCCATTGTTCAATGCCATGTTGTTCCATGGGTGTGCTTTCTCAATTCTGCTTGCAAGTGCAGCCCCTGCCTGCGGATGCATCCATTCTACACGGCTCGTTTCAGCAAGTGTGGAAGTTGTCCACACTTGCATCGGCGAATTTCAGTACACGCTTGAAAGTCTGGCGAGGGTCTGGACTGCATGAGTGACGCAAGGCCTCTGGGACGTTGCGCATATGCTGTGATGTCCTTCGACTCGGGAGCACTTTGCTGTGACACGTGCTGAAAGCACACTGCCCTGGGCGTGCGAAACAAGTATGCATCGTGCAGCTGTTGCGTGCTGAGCATTTGAAGGGCATCTAGGTATGGCAGAGAGCTTGCAGTGGAGCTCCGAAGCTGACCGAGGTCGTTTCGTCAGTGTGTATCGTTGTTGTCCTTTCGTAGGCCTCAGTGCTTTGCATGCCTCAGAGACTAGAACATCTTGCCAGTGGCAGTTGTCTTGTTTTGTTTATCATATCATCTGGGCATCGGACAAAACTTGTGTAGGTCCCATCTGGTCTTGCTGTTGCATGCCTCGTAAGCCTAGTACCTCTATTTGGGAAGTGATAGCAGCCCACCCTAAAGTGCTACTGTCGGGCTCTTTTTGGTCTGTATCTGTAGAAATGCTATCGAACATCGACGGGCGCCCGCCAACATGAAAGTTCAACGAGCACACGGTTTTGTCAGCTAGTCATGTAGAGTGGGAGTGGGGTCTTGCGGTGTGATGCCTGTCGAGTATTTTGCTGGTCGTCATGCATCTGGCTTGCTCCTTAAGTAGCATTTATAGAACGTTCTTGAAGTACCGGTTATGGAGCTTGCAGGAAAGCATATCCCTCATGGCGCACGTCCTGCCATTTCTTAGCGAGGGCGGCTTCCACTTCATCGCGTGACTTTTCGGTTCGAAGCAGGTAGATCTTTCTTTTGTGATCTCCGCTGCCTCCATTTGTCGAGGCTCGAGGCTCGGGACTCAGCAGGGGCGCCCAAGATCAGTGTTGGAGTGCGGCACGGACAGTTAATCTCCTTCGAATAGTTCACGATTTGTAAACCGAGCACTCATCGCAGGCGGGGGGCGTGCTGGCAGATGCCATGGTCTGGAGACCATTGCCAGCTGATGTGATGGGACAGGATGAAGGCCACTAATCGCTTTCTTGTTGAGAAGGGTCTGTTTGATTGCTTCACGTGAGAAGATTCTGGATGTCTTAGCTAGTGCTGCAATTGTGTAAAGTGATGTCCAGGTTCTGGTTCTGGTTAATGCGAGAGCACCATCGCGTCCACCATCCGCAGCGTGATGGGGACAAGTTCATCCTGTTGATGTCGGCAAGTGCAAGTGCCCAGATTCTGAGCCGGAGGTAGAACTGAAGTTGGGATGGCCATGATGCCAGACCTGACCATGACACCACTATTGGAAAGTTTGACTGACTCACTGTCATTCGAGGCGCCCAGCTGACATTTATGCCTTACTACTGGCAAAATGCCATGCTCCTTAATGCTGAACACTTTCGCGACATATTGCATGGGGGTTACATGGCTGATTGCCGTATTGCTTTGCAAAGGCATGTCGTCTCAGGCTCTCCTCACATACAATTGCCCGGAACTGTTCAGCACAGTAAGGCACTGGAGCATGCAAATCGCAAAGGGTCAGTCAGATGCATCGCGCCCGTTTACTCAGTGTAGGTTCTGTGCCAGTGACCGACATCTTCAGCACCATGCTGCACTACTTCCACTTCGCCATTGAGGATTCGAGTTGCGTGGCAACGGGCAAGGCCTGAGCACAGGCTAAGCCGGAAGTTGGACGCAAGAAATCCTGCATGTCATTCTGTTCCTTTCCGAAACTCGCGCCGAAGCCGCCTTTGCGTGTAGGCTTTGAGGTCTAGGATGCGGCACTTGGTTCGCTGATGCTCGCTGGGTGACGGAACAACAGTGGACACCAGAAGCATCAAGCGGCTAGTCGGCTTAACAAGGCGTCAGTTGTTGCCGTGTACTTGCAGTTGCCCGCCCGCCGTGATCTGCATCCTTTGCCACACGCTGCAGCGCTTCCACTTCACCGTCGAGGACTCGAGTTGTGCGGCAGTGGGCAGAGCCTAAGCAGAGGCTTCGTTAGCAGTTAGATGCAAGAAGTCCTCGGTGTCATTCGCTTCCTTTCCGAAGTTCATGCCGCCTTTGCCGTCGAGCTTGGAAGCTGCCCCTGTAAGCATGGGTTGTGAACAACTTATCCAGAGTTCCGTTTCCCGGACAAGGATATGGCACTAAGTTAGTGATGGGATGTCCTCAACCACAAGCCGCCGCATCATTGCGGACGTGCTTTTCTTGCCACTCCTCCCCTGGGCGGCGCCTGCGTGAGTTGATGTACATCCACGCATGCGGAGCGCTGAAGGCACGGACGCAGACTGAGACAAGGAGGTCCCGGAGCCCATGGGTAACTTACAGACGGCACGGCTTCAGCTGGGTTAGGACCCCACAGGCAAGGCGGTCCTCAAGCTGTGTCACCGCTTTCTACATGCCTTGCAGTTGCCTGCGCGTTTGCAGCGCCAGTGCAAATCGTGGCCTTGGCTCAGGGAACGCACTTCTACGTCGTGGTTTCTGAGGGAGCGTTAATCGAGCAGCTTGTCGCAGCCTCTTCTCGACCCATGTGCTGCAGCAACGTTGTGCAACTGCGGGTAGGCTACAGGTGCAAGGCCCGCTTTCTTCTCTCACGTGCATCTTGTGCCCCACAAACAGCTGTTCAAGCTTGTGCGTCCCTTGTGGTAGCGCAGGGCAGTCCTCGCTGCCAATCGTGGACAGAATGAAGACACACGCCACGACATAAATTGGCCTGCAAAACGAACAGAATGCCCACGTTGCGTGGATGAGGTGGCAGGTCGATGTCTCGTGCCAGCTCACATAGTGTCCACGTAGCCGCGGTGCCTCCGCACTGATCCGAATTCTCCTCACGCATGCTGGGCCATGCCCGTGCTTTTGCGCATGTACAGAACCTGTTTATCTAGCTTTCCTTTCCCCAAAGACAGGACAAGGACAAGCCTCTCCCTTGGCTGGGGGAGCATAAACAGGAAGCCGGCGAGTGAGCACACCAGGCCTTTGTGCCCTTGCAGGTCCTCGGAGTGCAAATATCCTAGGTTTCAATAATGAGGATTGAGGTTCGCAGACGCCCAAGCTAGACCCGCAGTGTGTGCTGAGAAAGGATGAGAAGGGCATCTTGCAGAGACCTGCGCTGGCTGCTTGAGTGCTACGGGGCTTGCAGCGGCCTGTACTCTCTTTGTTATTTTGAATATGTCGGCGAGAAGTTACACCGTACCGCGCCCAGCTGCAACTGTGTTCACGTCGATTGTTCGCTCACAGCGCTGGCAGTGCATGAAGGGGGCAACGCATTTTCAGGCTATCGGCCTTGTGGTTGCAGTCAGTGGCAACCGCCAAGTTGCCGGTCCACTGCCGCTCGAGGCTGGCGGGTCCCCGAGCTTGCGTGAGCGGCAGCGACCTCAGCTGAATTGCTTGCAGCAAGCTCACATTGCGGGAAAGGATTGTTCAAGATGTCATCACATTGCCGTGGCCACAGGATCTCCGGCAATTCGGCCCCTGGGACTGCAGCTGTGGGTAAGGGCCACCCGTGCACTGGGAAAGCATTGCCTACGTCCACAGAATACCTGAAGCATCGTTGCGCGAAGAAGAACGTCAGAATTGGCGCCGGTGCAAGCAGTTAGGCGCCACTGCGAGTCGTCTGCAATGGAGGTATCTGGGCAGTGCTTGTCGATCACGAATTTTCGGGCACGCTACACCTTGTTTCGATTCAAGACGTCAGCTCTTCCATTCAGCCAGAGTTTGACATCATCTTGCCGCAGCAACCGCATGCGCACCAATCGCATGCGCATGCTTGGCAGATTCTGTGGCCGTTTCGTTTGCAGTGGCCTTGGACTTCCCCTTCGCTTGGCTCACTGCCTTGCCCCCTGCAAGTTCCGAGCAAGGATCACCTTGCGATTGCCAATGCGAGTTCGAGAGAAGTTCCGTTCCACCTTCCCGGCCGCATCCACCAGCTCGCGGGCTATCTCAGCTCAAGGGTTGTGCGGTGGTTCAAGGGTCTCCTTTCCATGGCCTGTCCCTTCTTGCTCACGGGAGCTGTCGTGAGAGAGTGTGCGTATGATAAGACTTATGGGACGTATGCGGAAAGCTTTGCCGGCGCCGATGCCGCGTTCTTGCTTGGCTGCTTGCCCGAGTTGTGGTTTTGCCACGGCGGGTTGTCGCCCCTAACTCCTGACTAGTAAGCCCCGCGGTGTCATTGCACAGTTGCATCCCGAGTCCCAGAGAGAGGCTGACCGCAATGGCATGTAGTGATGCTGCCGGAGCGAAGCTTTGGAGACTTTTGAGGCAGCCGATCCGAGGTGCGGTCGCTGCGCGACCTGCACGAGCTGAGCAAGCTCTCGCCTGCCGTTGGTTCGCACCCGACTTCGAGCCCTGTCTGCTTCTGCCCGATTCTGCCCTGGCGCAAGCGCGCTTGAAGAGAGCTGGGCGATTCGAGGCGGCTGGCAGGCCTCTGCTCCGATGAAGCGGAAGTTCCAATGTCCCAACTTTAGACAGGGCATGCCGAGACTTGCGTGAT